AATGTGATATTTTAAGACAAGAATATCGAGAAAATGATTTGCTACGAGAAAAAAAATGTAATATTTTAAGAGAGAAATATCAAAAAAATGAGTTGTTACGACAGAAAAAATGTTGTCATCTAAAAGATATTTATCAAGGAAACGAAAATGCTCGAAAACGAAAATGTGAGCAACAATTAAATAGATATCAATCAGATGAAAATTTTCAAAAACGAAAATGTGAGCAGCTATACAATAGATATCAAACAAATGAACTTGTACGACAAAAAAAATGCACACAATTACGAGAAACTTATAAAACAAACAGCAATATTAGAGAACAAAAAAAGAAAAAAAGTTATTTACAGTACATTATTTTAGAAAAAAGGCAGCATAAACTATTTTCTCTTCGACAAAAATATCGAAACAATCTTCAACGATTAGAGAATGCCGCTAGAAAATTGCTAAATACGTATGATACCACAAATGGTCCAGTCAATCAAATTGAATTATTTAAAATTGTGAAAGAAACTAAAACAAATCAAATTAAATTATATGCAACAATGGCAAAACAAATTCGTGAGAAATATCTTATGCAAAGAAATCAAAAGAAAAGAAAACTAGATTTTTATGAAGAAAAATTTCGTGAATATATTCAACAAATGCCGAAATATGTTTGCACTGTTTGTCACCGATGCATGTTTCAAACGGATGTTAAAGAGTGTCATAGAGAAAAATATAAAACGAAATTTAGTGATAATGTTTGGTCATCAACTATGACATGTTTTACAGGGGCCTATGTGGATAAAGATGCATTTGATTCTTGTAAAAGAACAGAATGGATTTGCACGGCGTGTCACAACATTCTTTGGAAAGGAGGTATTCCACCAAGATCTGTTGTAGCTAATAATATGGTTGGAGAACATATTCCTGATGATATTCGAATATTAAATGATTTAGAACGACATCTTATTGCTTTAAGATTACCATTCATGAAAATGATCTCTTTACCGAAAGGGGGACAAAAAGGATGCAAAGGTCCAGTTATATGTGTTCCTTCTGAGGTACAAGATACAGCTAATATTTTACCGCGACATCCAAGTAAATCTGCATTCATTCGATTAAAACTAAAACGTCGGTTGAATTATCGAGGTTGGTATAAGTATCAGATGATATGTCCGGATCGTGTACGAAGTGCATTAAGAATTCTATGTGAAATAAACGAAAATTACAAAAATATAAAAATTGATGACAATGATTATGATTACTTTAATTGGGATGATCATTTAATAAGTAATTTGAGTAATGATGAACGTATATTTTCGTCTCTAAAAGAAAAAAATAAAGAGAATAATGAGAATGAAGATAAAGATGAAGATGTTTATGGAGATGAGGAAGATGATGAACGAGATCCTAGAAAGAAATTTTCAATACCAACTGACACTTGCCTTCAATCTAATATTGCAGAAGATTATGTTGATTTTGAACAAGATGTCATTTCTATTGCACCAGCTGAAAAGAATCGTCCAGCTTCATTATTAAGAGAAAAAGGTTTAGAAGCAAAAGCATTTCCTCATCTTTTTCCTGACGGAAAAAATACATATGATCAAGAAAGAGAGAGAAAACTAAAATTTAGTACTTATGCAAATCAACGTCTATTTAGTGCTGATTATCGATATGCATCAGATCCACATTATATATTTTTTTTACAATATTTGAATGACATTCAACATGCAAGTTCTGGTATTAGTTTACAATTAAGAAAAAGTTGTTCAAAATCACAGTTTACTCTTCAAAATATTTCTGATAAAAAATATTTGTCTAATATGTTAAAGAAAGATATGATTTTTAAACATCTATTAAAAGTTAGAGGATCACCACAGTATTGGTCATCTACATTATCTGAATTATTTGCTATGATTAGACAGTTAGGAGTACCAACATGGTTTTGTAGTTTTTCTGCTGCTGATGCACGTTGGATAGATTTACTTCATTATTTAGCAGATTATCATAATATAGCAAGAAAAAATAAATATACATGGAATGAAACGAATTACTTATTGAAAACTAATCCAGTGATTGTTTCTCGAATTTTCGATAGACGGTTTCGAAGTTTTATGAGAAACATTATTTTATCAAAATTTGCAGCATTAGGTGAAGTGAGTGATTATTTTTATCGAGTTGAATTTCAAAAAAGAGGCTCACCTCATATTCATATGATTGTTTGGATAAAGAATGCACCAAAATATAGAGAAAATTCAGATGAAGAAGTAATAACATTTATTGATAAATATATAACATGTAAAATGCCAAATGAAAAAGATTTACATTTATATAAAATTATTAAGGAAGTACAGACTCACTCAAAATCACATTCAAAATCATGTAAAAGACGTAATAAAGTCTGTCGATTTTACTTTCCGAAACCAATATCACGACGAACATTTATTGTTAATAAAAAGTTTAAAGTTGGTGATGACAATGATGATGATGAGACAGATCAATTGAATAATATTAAAACAAAATTAAAAGAGATGAATATTTATCTAAAAGACATAGAAGATAAAAATATTGTTTTAAATTGGAATCATTTCGATGACTCACTCGTAAAAGTTGGATGGAGTTATGATGAATATGAACGAGCATTAGAAAACATATTACCAGCAGATACTGTTGTACTTAAACGTGCACCAGAAGATAGATGGGTAAATAATTATAATGAAAAATGTATTCTTAATTGGAACGCAAATATGGATATACAGTATGTGATGAACGCATATGCTTGCGGAAAATATATGTTATCGTATATCTGTAAAGCTGAAAAAGAAATGAGTGATATATTAAAAAATGTTCATCAGGAAGCAAAAGAAAAAAATATATCGATACAAGAAGAAATGAAAGTTCTTTCAGGTGTATATTTTCATCATAGAGAAGTCTGTGTTCAAGAAGCAATCTATCGTGTATGTAGTTTAAAATTAAAACAAGCTAGTAGAAAAGTTGAATTTGTTCCAACTGATCCTGATTGTTTCCGTTTGTCTAAACCATTAAATTTAATAAGGAAAATGATAGCTGAAGGTCGAGAAGACAATGATGATATTTTATATAGTAACTTCATGGATAAATATTTAGATAGACCTGATAATGCTTTATTCGATATATGTTTAGCTGATTTTGTGGCTAAATTCGGATTTATCAATAAAAAAAATCCAAGAACCCGAGTAGAAACTTGGCCATTAAAAACATTAAATTTTGCAATTTATAAACGCAAACGGGAAGCAGTGATTAGATATCCTCGTATTGATATTAATGATGATGAGGAAAAATTTTATCATAATTTAATGAGACTTTTTTTACCTATTCGAAAAGAAACTGATATACAAGAACCATACAGCAATTTTTTTCATAATGGTTATATTAAATTTGTTAGTGGTACAATAAATTCTGTGAAGAAAATTGTTTTATCGAATCGGGAACGATATGAATCTAAAATAAGTAAACAATTAGAAGAAGCAGTGAAAGATATAACTGAGAATAATATACCTGAGGATGCATGGGGTGTTCTTTGTGCAGAATCTGAACTTCAAAACGAAGAGATTAGTGATCATGTAAAGATCAAGTATAAAAAGTTAACAGAATTAGATACGGATAAAAATCCTGATATTGAATACTTATTAGAATCTAAAAAGAAGAAACAAAATGAACAAAAAAATGTATATGAAATTCATCCTACAACATATCAACCCGAAAAAATTCGATCAATGTTAAAAAATATGACACATGAACAACTGAACATATTTTATTATGTGAGAGATTGGTGTCTTCGAAAAAGAGCTAATCAAGACATAGATTGTTTACGTCTTTTTATCACTGGTGGAGCTGGCACTGGAAAAAGTCATCTATTAAAATGTATATATTATGAAGCGACTAAAATATTAAATGAAATTAATAATGATAACAGTAATGAAATTCGTACATTAATATGTGCACCTACAAATGCTGCTGCACTTAATATGAATTGTACAACTATGCATAGTACGTTTAAAATTGGTATGAAAAATTTCAACTTGTCCGAAAATATTCTAAACACTATGAGATCGAAATTAGATTCCTTATGTCTTTTGTTTATTGACGAAATTTCGTTAGTTGATCAGTCTTTATGGAGAGAATTACATACACGACTAAGTCAAATTACATGTAAAACTGGTTCCAATATTTATTTTGGAAATGTTTCTATAGTTGCCGTAGGTGATTTTTATCAATTACCACCAGTTAAAGGAATTCCTCTATATTTATCAATTAATGTAATAGATTATTGGCAAAATTTATTCGAATATTCTGAATTAACGATTTGTCAGCGAACGAAAGAAGCAGATTTTTATGCTCTAGCAAATCGAATTCGTAAGAAAACAAAAAAGGAGACTTTCTCTGAAAAAGATAGACAAATTTTACAACGGTGTGTTAATAGATATAATTCAAAAATCTATCAAGACGATTGCTTACATTTGTTTGCTTGGAATAAATTTGTTAACGAACATAATGAGAATATGTTATCATTGAAATGTAAAAACATTGTTGATATACCTGCAAAAAAAATAAAAAACACTGAAAACCAATTAGCCAGAAAAAGAAAAAAGAAATTAAATACCTGTGATTATGAACATTTAAGAATTGCAGTTAATGCCCGAATTGTAATAGAAGAAAATGCTAATCGAGATGATGGTATTGTTAAAGGAGCATTTGGAAATGTTGTTGAAATTGTTTTTGATTCTAATAAAAAAGATTTTGTTGATCATATCAGAATTAAATTTGATAATCCTGATTGCGGACGTCAACACCAAAAAATTTGTGAAATTTGTCGAAAAGAAAAGACTGTTTGTATTCAAAGATACAATAATCCATGGGATGAAGATGGACAAAGAAAAAATACGGAACAATTTCCAATACGATTAGGTTGGGCTTCAACTATTCATAAAGTACAAGGTCTAACTGTGAAATCAGTAGTAATTGATTTAAAAAAATTTAATCAAACAGGACAAGGTTATGTTGCTTTTACACGTCCGCCTAAAGGTGAAGAAGTTTATCTTACACAGTTCAAAGATGAGGCATTTTTTTGCGATGAACGTATAGAAGAATCCACTAGTAAAATGCGAAAAATGTCGTATCAGTATGCTCAAATGGAAGATGCCTCTTTATTTCGAATAGGTTTTCATAATGTTGAAGGCCTTGAAGCACATTATGATCATATTAAAAATCATCATTGGTATAAAAGTTGTCATATTATTTGTATTAATGAAACTTGGTTAAAGTCTTGCACTTGTCAATCAGAATTAGAAAATTTTACATTAATTACTCAAAACCGATCCGATTCATATAGTAATTCAAATTTTAGTGAACGTGATCGAGGTGGAGTTGGAATTTTTATACACAATAATACATATTTTGAAAAACTTAATTTACCTTTATGTGATATTGAATCTCTAACAATAAAAACAAATATTTTGAATAAAGTATGCTTTGTAACAACAGTTTATAAACCACCACATCTAAATTCAAAACAATTTATAACTAATTTCGATCATCAAGTTGCTTTAATTAATGATGAAAAGAGTCAGCATATCATTGTTGGAGATTTTAATGAAGACACAAATCAAATAAATACACCAATTCATAATTACTTTAAGATTCAAGGCTTTAAAAAATTAGATACAGCAGCTACCACTATTGGTAATACATCATTAGATTGTATTTTTATTAAAAATATTGGTTTAAAAGAAAAAATAAGTATAATACCAGCGTATTTTTCTTATCATAATGCTTTGATGCTCGAACTCTTTGAAACCGATATAAATTCAAAAGAAATAACTTCCTTTCATAATCATATAAAAAAAAAAGATATTGACAATTTGCAATGGAATTCAATAGCAAATTGTTGTTCTAAAAAAAAGAAATTAAATAATAGAAAGAATCAAGTTAAAAGAAAAAAAACATTGAAAGAAATAAAATTAAAAAAATTGAGTGAAAAACAAAAAAAAATATTGGAAGAAAGTCAAAATGAAGATTATATACCACGAAATTCTTCGTATATCTTGGATGAAGATAAGGTTATCGAATATATTCGTGCTTTATATATAGCAAATTATAATTCATGGTATAGCTATCAAGATATTCAGGATCTTCTTGAAAAAGCATTTGAGATGAGAAAACATGATTTATTAAGAAACAATCGATATGTCTATATTTTTACTCCGATTCTAGGAACTAATATTATTAATGAAAATTTTGATACAAATAATGAATTATTTGATGCTATTAATGCATTTCAACGTCAACGTTATGTTGACAGTTCATATGCACAAATTAATGAACTTATTATTCCATTGAATGTTGATCAACTACATTGGATATTATTAATTATTGTATATCCTGAACAAGCAAACAACGCCTATTATGTTTTCTATTTTGACCCTCTCGGTCAGGCAATACCTGAACCGATTGTCAATACTTTAATGAAATGTAACTTTATACAAAATGAAAATCAAATTCAATCTAACTTTCAACAAATATTACAGAGAGATGGCCGAAATTGCGGTCCATGGCTTGTTGTATGTGCAACAAATTGGCTCGAAACAAAGGAAATTAATATGCAATATTTATCATTATTTAATATTGAACATGAACGAAAATGTCATGAATCTTATCTGTACGATGTATATCTTGCAAGACATATTGAAAAGAAATAATTACTATCTTTTTACAAAAGTTCATGTCTTACGTATTCAAACATCAGTACAAAGAAAATAAAACTACATTAAATCAAATATATTTGACTAAACTTGTGATAGATACCATTACTTGTCTCTTTTTTATTAATGTTTTTAAATTGAAATAAATACTATCATATAAAATAATAATTTATTCTTTAAATACGTAGTTTCACTTTTCACATGTTTTTTTTTTTTTTTTTAAACTAAAATACTTCTTTCCAAGAAAAAAAAACATACAAACGATACTGATATTGCGCGGTTGTTAGTTAGATTCTACACAAAATTTTTTTTTTTTATTCTATTTTTTTACGTTGATAAACAACGATTCTATTGGAAATCAAAGCAATATGTCAAAAATTTTATATTATAAATATTGCAATCTTATGTTAAAATCATTTATTTGTTCATTTGTTAAATAATTCTAAAAATTTTTAAACAATTTAAAATTCAGATGATCTAATGAATTCATTACTGAATTTGTGAAAACTTTGTTCTTTATGGATTTTGCCTATCTTATTGCATGAGCTAATTTAACTATAATAATAGACTATTTAATAAATTTGACTTCATTTATGAATTATAAAGTTTTGAAAAAAAAATTAAAAGATATTAGTTTTCTTAAATGTGTAATACATTATTGAATATTCGATTTTAAAAAGAAAAGTTTGCGCCTGTTCCTAACGTCTAAAGATATAATTAAAAGTCTTTCATTTGACGTATTTCATTCATTCTCATTAACAGTTTTATCACTCTTTCTTCTATACTAAGAAATAAACAAAACTATATTATGTCGAATAAAAAGTTCAAAACATTAAATGGATACATACAATCGGCAACACCTGTTGCAGAAGGTAAAAAACTTCATAACTATGCAAGTGTTGAGCTTCAAGTGGATTCAAATTCTACCGAACGTGTCGTTTTTTTTTTCGCTAAACCGGCGAAGTCATCACATGCTTTTAACA